GGCTCCAGAAGTTGAAGGGCCCATAATCTCCGTCTCAAAAATTGGCCGGAAAGCATACAACCCCACTATTTGTGGATGTGTGAATGGGCAGGAGAGAATACTGACAGTGGATACTGGAGCGACACGTTCCATTATTCGACTGGATTTGGCCACTTTTTATGTGACCCCACTACCTGGAGCAAAGCTGCAGACTGCAACTGGTGAACGCACCCAAGTGTTAGGAGAAGTACCATGCGAGGTAATAATCGACGATGTGGCCTCGTATACTAAGTTTATAGTGGCAGACATTGTGGATGAAGTCATCATTGGCGTGGATTTCTTACTTGGCCAAGGCATGATGATTGACCTCCAGAGAATGATCCTTACAGATCGTCACAGGAAAGTGCCACTTAGGGTTGGTTACGACAGCCAGTGCTGCAGCAGACGGTTAGTCATAGAGGAAGTGTCGAAGATTCCACCAGAAACGGAAGCGGTTAGTTGGGCGGAGGTTGGCAGTGTTGGAGACGGAATGGTTTCGTCAGGAGAAGGAAGTGGTTCACCGATACAGGAAAAGCGTGACGGTTCCACCAGCTCAGTGAAGAAGAGGTCACAACAAGGAAGTGGTCATGGCGAGCCAGGCAGGAGGAAAGCCACTGAACCACGTTACAATGGTGACACGCCGGTGGCCGGAAATGGAAGCGGCTGTGGAAGCAGTAGGCGCGCTTTGAAGTGTCCCGAAAAAGGTGGTCGGCAAAGGCGAGCAGTTAAGCCGGAAGCCAAGGGTGAGATTATACATGTCCAGTCAATGAAGTTAGCATCGGCGGAAGAGCGAGATATGAAACGACGGCGGAAGCTTCAGCGTAAGGATCCGGATGTAGAAAGATGTGCTAACGGCAGTGCAGCACGAAGGCGGGAGTCTGGGTATCATGGACAGATGATGCGGCATAGATCTGGCGAAAAGGGTGCCCACGAGAAGAGACATGGTCTGGTCACCACCAGTGGCCGGCAGAAGCACGACCATGTGAGATGGTGAACTCCCGGAGATAAGCCGGAGGTAATGTCCAGTAACGCATGGTGGTTGTACATGTCGCAGCAGAAGCAAAGCTTCAACTCCAAGCAAAGACGTGACTGGACAGATTCGAAGATTAACAAACGGCAGAAGGACGCAGTGCATCAAAACCAGACAATGGGGAGACCGAGGACCAAGATGAAAGTGGTCCAATTTGAAAGACTTGCAGCGGTTTGAGCGGCAAGTATGTCTGATCGGGACGATCAGACTTAGGTGGACTGCTGTGTGGCGAATACTGCGGCAACACAAAGCGAACAACGAGAAATAGGCAGAATGTTCGAGGAATGACGTAGAATGTTCCACAAACAGAAACGTCAAGTTGGATGAACACTGCGAACAGCGAGAGAAAGAGAATGAGCGATAAACTTCAGAACGTTCTAGAATTGCCATAAGTACGAGCGCAGGTATATAAGGGCGCCGCCACAGCGGAGTGAGTTAGTTACAAGTCAGCAAGCTACAAGTAAAGTGAGCGGAGAATTGAGTTGCGAATAAGCAAGCTATAAGTTTAATTGTGTTAACAAGTAGTAAAGCGTTGTTATTGCTTTAACAAGTATTGTAAAGTGTTTTTACTGTATTAGCAAGTATTGTAAACTGTTTGTTGTACAATAAAGTTAATTGTACTACAATTTGGTCATCGTTAGCATTTATTTAACAATCCAGCGATACGAACCGGGAGATTTGGGAAATCCGGACGAGGTTTCAAGGATAATCGTAACACTACTCAAGCCTGATACCTTGGTTATAATGCACGGGGCGAATCGTAACAAATCGCGACTAATTCGTAAGGATCTATTGATTTTAGATGCTTCCGTTTTACATTGCGTTCAAGTGCATTATAATCGTTTGAATTCATTACCCATACAGTAGATACTTAAGTGACAGTCCACTCTGTTCCGTTACTTCCATTATAATCCAGGCATGAAAGATTATTTAGTGCAATTGTATAGAAGCTGCTCCACATTTTGAAAAATAGTCAAATTTCGATAAGCCTGTAAAGCCTGAAAAAGATGCCAACTTTCGAACTTCAGTCGTCTGACAGTTAACCGTTAGCAATGCTGTAATCGATATCAGAGGGTCAATAATATTTTTAATGAATGTAAAAGTATGTTCACACATAAATATTATCTCAATCAAAGCTTGTTTTTTAATCAACCCGTTTACACCGGCAAATCTCAGATTATTAGCCGTCAAATTTGTTGTGCTTGTTACCCTCACATCTCAAGGAAAAGTTATGTTACTTCTCTGTGCCACCGTGATAACGTTTTTATGCTATAATAAGCAATATAAATATATTTTAACTTAACATTTTATTTAACAATTTTTATTAGCTTGAGGCCGTTTTCAGTGAAAACTTATTGTGGAAAAGCAACAATAATTTGAAAAAATGGTAGAAGTGATAGCTATTTCGGAAATCACCACATTTCCTCATCATTTAATCTGAGATTAACAAGGGACGAATTTTATATGGCTAATCTCTTGTTATAATTAGCACTGTGCTAAGTTTGTCTTGTTAATTCTTGTTGCTTATTTTCCACTATTTCACTTTGCTAAGCCAACTACAATCAAGCGCAGCTATTCCGCTGCAATTCACTTGATCATGTGGTTGTTGGTNAATCTCCGGTAAAACAGCGTTGTCGACGTTACCCACTCCATGTTATATGCATGGAGCCGAACACGTCGATAATGATGTTTAAACGGGGATAAGTGTTAACCAGACATTGAGTAACCGGCCCTTATATGTGAACCTAGTATAATTACAGATTAGGGTGGTAAGCTCGAAAATGAGGATAATCTACTTATATGTGAACCTAGTATAACACAAAATTCAGGCAATACAACACAAGGAAAAATTATTAATTATATGAAAATGAATATGAAAGAGGTGAACAAAAGTACTGAATAAACTAAAATGAAATGGTAAAAGAAGTATCTCTTTTATCGATCTTGTATTTTTTAGTCGATATCTCATTTGTTGGAAAACTCATTCCTTCACCATTCTCCAATTTACTGCGAAATGTCAAAGGTTCGTAAAAACGTCAAGCGCAAAAAGTTTGTTGTGGAGTTGCTTACCTGTAAACCTGTAAAGCCTGCACGAATTCGAAAGGCTGTACGATTTCGAAAGCCGCAACGCCTGAGAAGCCTCCTATGGAGCTTCAGCTTAACAGTTGCTTATGGGCTGTTTTTGCGGCAAAATTTTCCAATAATTGACCAGACTTTGAAAAAAAGGCAGATGAGAGGGTGTAGAGGGGTCCACTTGATTTTAAATCTGAAGGTCACCCCCTCCGGAGGCTTATAGTTTTTAAGTAATTAATAATTAAAGTTACAAAAAAAGTCAAATTCAACCTCAGTTTTTCCTTTGTAGAGCGATTTTACTGAAACTTCGGTCCCAAAATATTTCGAAAAACAAACTGAAAACAGAAACAAAGAAAACGCACAATTTTTATTGCATATTTTCACTATATATCGAAGTATTGATTATAAAAAAACGGAGCAAGCGAAAATTAACAGTATATCGAAGTGGGTATTGATTTTTTTGAAAGAAAAGCGCCTCTGGCTAAAATTTTTAATAAAAAACCGCGCGACTTTTGATTACAAATTTTCGTTATATATCGAGGTATTGAATTAAAAAAAGTGCCGCAGGCGAAAATATTTAATAAAAAATCACGCGATTTTTGATTACATACTTTTAATATATATTGAAACATTGATTTAAAAAAAAGCGCTGCGGGAGAAAATTTGTACTAAAAAATCGCGCGATTTCTTATTAAAAATGTTCACTATTTATTGAAATATTGTATAAACAAAGTATTTTTGGGTAAAGTTTTCAACGATCTGGCATTACATACTTCGCGGCCATCGCTCAACATTTGTGTGTTTTCGAATAGAAACTTATTTGGGGTGTTCACAGTTCGTTCCAAATAGTTGGTGTGTTCACAGTTCGTTCCAAATAGTGTCTCAAAATGTAGACGTCTACATTTTGAGACATCTTTAGCATCAAACTGTGAGCACCCCTTTCTAGCAGTCGTCGCAAAATCGTCTCAAAACTTTGCTGGTGTTGCCAGACATTTCTTCTTTGCGTGCTTTTTTATATGTCGCCTTTCGATTTTGTTTCTGAAAAACACCCCAATTGTTACGATTATCCTTGAAACCTCGTCCGGATTTCCCAAATCTCTCGGTTCGTATCGCTGGATTGTTAAATAAATGCAATCGATGACCAAATTGAAGTACAATTAACTTTATTGTACAACAAACAATTTACAATACTCGCTAATACAGTAAAAACACTTTACAATACTTGTTAAAGCAATAATAGCGCTTAACTAAACTTGGTAACACAATTAAACTTATATCTTGCTTATTCGCAACTCACTTCTCTGCTCACTTTACTTGTAGCTTGCTGTCTTGTAACTCGTAACTAACACAACTCGCTGTGGCGGCGCCCTTATATACCTGCGCTGGCACTTCTGGCATTTCTAGAACATTCTGAAGTTTATCGCTCATTCTCTTTCTCTCGCTGTTCGCAGTGTTCATCCAACTTGACGTTTCTCTTTGTGGAACATTCTACGTCATTCCTCGAACATTCTGCCTATTTCTCGTTGTTCGCTTTGTGTTGCCGCAGTATTCGCCACATTATTTAAAGAACACGTTTATAAGCATTAATTGTTAAATATTTAGTAGAAAAAAGATGTACATTCATTTGTTTATGAACAAAAGCTGATATATTAATGAAAAGAAAAGTGATTAATGCAGTGTTTATATAAAAAATATGTGAAGTAATGGGTAAATTTTAACAACAAATAACTTAAAACTGTTAGCATTTCTACAGAAAATGATGAAGATATCGGAAAATAAGAACTTTCTCAACACTATCAGCCCCTTAAACTGCTGCCGCAATCTCTTTTGTAAAATTTTTAAGTTTGACAGACTTCGTAAAAGGGCTTGCACTTGCAACGTCTAACGGCCACTTTATGTATCTATACAAACAGCTGTTCGGTTGATGTTAAATCGCAAATAATCGGTTGCGTTAATAATAAATATGTGCTGATTTCGTGTATTTCACTTCATAACTATACGCAAGATGTGTGAGGGAACGCAATAACCGTGGAATAATATTTACAAGAACTTCTCTACGACTTTGAAAAAGTAAAACATGGAAGTGCTTATCTGTAAGCGATAAAATTTTAAAAGTTTGTTCGAAGTGCCTCACTCCGCTGCGGAAACATTTTTTCCTAGGGTAGCTTCTAATCCTATCACCAACAAATGTCGCAGGAATTCGGCGGCGTGCCAATTACGATTCCACGATCACGAAGCGTTTTCGCTATATTGATAGCGGGATTTTTGGCCATTTTAATATTCTATTACTATTATGGTAGCATTTTGACGCTTTCCGTGCTTATCACTATCATATTTGGTAAGATTTTGTGAATTTCTTCCATTGACTATTTTAAAATTTAATGCTAATACTTTCAGTCGCGTTCTACTATTTACAAGATATGGTATTATATCATCCCGATCTTCCCGCGAATTCTCGTATCTATGTTCCCATTCCTAAATTGCATAATCTACCACATGAAACAGTCAATATACATACACCAGATAAAGTCACATTGCATGCATTCTGGGTATACCAACCGGTGGACCGTTCAAAGGGGGTACCCACTTTTGTGTACTTTCATGGAAATGCAGGAAACATGGGTCATCGCATGCAAAATGTTTGGGGAATATATAATCATCTACACTGTAACATTTTGATGGTAGACTATCGGGGCTATGGCTTTTCAACGGGTGTGCCCTCAGAACGAGGCTTAGGAACCGATGCTCGTGCTGTGGTTGACTACTTGTACACACGAAATGATCTAGACCATGCACAAATAGTTTTGTTCGGGCGCTCATTGGGCGGTGCAGTAGTTATAGATGTTGCTGCCGATACAGTGTACAGCCAAAAAATTATGTGTGTTATTGTTGAGAATACATTTACTAGCATTCCGGATATGGCGGTTGAGTTGGTGCACCCATCGGCAAATCTTATACCAAGATTTTGCTTCAAAAATAAAGTAAGAAATTGTCCCAATTTATAGAGCATGTCAGACGTTTCAATATTTCCATCTTTTCTACGCAATTCGTTGTCAAATTTAGAAAGAAGTTTTATATCGATGTATGACCAGACAGAAAGACCTTTCTGTCTCATTTCTTTTATTTCTGCTGCAAGTGCTGTCCAACTGTAATCGAGTGTTGCCATGTGACACTGATCGCGAGTTTGTGATAAATAATAACGCATAATTTAGAATAAAATTTCGGAAATGAATTTAACTAATAATTTTTTGGAATTTAATTGTTTAGCTATGAATATAATATTATATTTATATTGTCACCTTAATTCACAAAGGCCCTAACAAACACATTTTTCGAAACTGCGTTTTTCACAGACCCCACGTTTAGTTTTCCGGTAAAATCAATTTTATTCAATTACTTTAATCCAATTTTGGGTTGATTTTAAAAGTTTAATTAAATCAAGTTAGGGAACTTCCTATTACTCTTAAACGAAATCTGTATTTCTATAAATAATTATTTGCTTTTCAGTTCCTATTGTAATAAAAGCGTGCTTTTAGTTTTTTTTTAACTATAATTTTATTACGTGACAAGTTGCTAGTTCACGATTGTTACGATTCGAGCCCAGGTCTGACACGCTCTTGTCAAATTAAAAAAAAAAATCTTTTTATAATTGAGTTTTTTATAGTACTTCTCCTCATGGAAGATTGGTAAATGTTCTGTACCGTTTTTATTCGTATCGGGTTTGGCCGATAACCTAGTGCCGCCACGTATGATGCGTACTTTGTACATGAAGTGTGGAAGTGAAAGGAAACGCATACTAGAATTTATAGGAGGGGCTCACAATGATACCTGGATCATGGACGGGTATGTGTTAATTCATATAACTTAAATAATGGGCAATATGCATAAAAAATAAGCAATTGCTTTTCTTAAAATTTCATACCTTTCACTTAAATTTATTTGAACAAATCAAGTGAAAGGGCGAAATTTTAAGAAAATGCTTTTCCTTAGTTTTTATGCATACGGCCCAATATTTCAATGTTATAACATGCCAACCTAATATTCACGCACACCGCCAATTTACTGTCAAAAATTCCTCATGTACATAAAACTTGTATGGGACCAACCGAAATTGAACGGCGTGTTTACGAAACTAAAGCTATAATTAGTCAAGGACGCAGAACGTATACTTGAACGCAGTCTGTATACGCAGAATTTTGTCGATTACCGGAGCTCTCAGTGGTGCTTACTACAGTGTTGCCACTCATCAATGTTTTTTTTTCATAAACCTACCTTTTCAACTATCGTGCTATAACAGATTGTAGCTAAATATAAACTACTTAGTTTACAACAAAAAACCTGATTCAATAGTAAATTTCAAATATTTTAAACATATTTTGAATATGAACTTATAACTTTTTTACGATCTGCAAAACTGACGGAAGTGGCAACTATCTAAAGAACGAAGAAATCAGCTGACACGGAAAAATCTAGTTTTCGCAGATTTCTGCGCTACGGGCTATAACCACAGAAAAATTCTGCGGTGTTGAATTTTCATTTACATGGAGCTTTGAATAATTTCAGCTTAAATCAATTTTCAATTTTTGTTCTGCGTGACATTTTGATTTCGGGCGACGCAGAAAAGCAAATTCGACGGCGCGCGTACCAAAACGCAAGCCGCGAATATTAGGTTGGCCTGTAGTAAAAGAGCTGGGAACACCTAAAGAATAAAAGCCGTTGAGCCGAAAAAAAGTGGGCGTGGTCCCCTGTTCCTGATTTTAATGGCATACTTTTTTTATGCAATTTAATAGGGGGGCGTGGAATTTTCAACATTTTTAAAAGCTTATATTTTGAAAATTATTAAACCGATTTTTAGGATATGGACACAGTTGGAAAGGTAATTAAAAGACCTTTCATTCATTCGATTCATATATCTACATCTGTAACAGCTCGAATCTGTGCATTTGATGAATAAATTTTTTTTATAATTTGTAAATTTTTTATTATTTATCAAGAATTGGAATTCTAGCATAGAAATCAAAATCTTGGTAAACTATCAAGATTGAAAATGATATTGACAAGCATTTACAAATTTAAATTTCATATGTAAATTTTGTTTATTAAAATTTTTTTTCTATCATTTAAATACTGCGTGTGCCGGCATTTGAACCTGCGACACAGCATTTATTGCCGACATCTCTACCTACTCGGCTACGGCAGTCAAAAGCTTTTTTGCTTTTAAATTCATATTTTTCATATGTGACAATGGGTAGGTTCAGAAGGCGCAGCAGTTGAGCCCAAGGCACATTAAACAGGTAGTATCAGTAGAGCAAAAACAACATTTGCATGTATTTTGTTGTTGCTTCTGGTATCGAAAGTGTCAAAAACTGTTCCGAGTTTTTTCTTCTAAATCAAAGTGTGCCATGTGAATTACAAAAAATTAAAAATTGAAATTGGAAAAAATAAAAATTGATGCAACTTTCTTTCCTAGTTAATTTGTTTGCTTCTCGAAGCATTGATCCATCCTTTGCAAGGCCCAGTAATCAGCGGTTGTGCTGCTGAGTTAGGCGAACGTTCCAAAAGCTGCTATTCAATCGCTTGTTTTGTATGGAAAAAGGTTTCCCATGCAAATGGATTTTAACAATTCAGAATTTTTGTGAGAAAAAATTAAAAATATTTGACATTTTCGTGACCAAATAATTTGAAAATAAATCAAATCAGCTGCTCTACTGATACTACCTGTTCAATGTACCTTGGTTGAGCCCAACCGTTGCTAACAAAATCAGTGATCGTTATGAGTCTTCTGAACGGCTTGATACATTAGCTGTCAAACTCAACTCTCAAAGGTACATACCAACATGTTGTCTCAAATGATCAGAAAAATATTACGATCATCTAACATGCAACTATTCAGCTGATCAGAAGTACACAACACAGTGATCGGACGTTAAAAAATTCTGTGTGGTAGAATTTGGAAAAAAATGTGTTAGATTTCAAAAAAATGTGGTAGATCTCGGTTTGGATCAAGCTTTGTACAAAAATTAAAAAAATTCTGCAAGGTTTCACCTAAATTGCAAACTTTTTAATTTTAGCATAATAAAGTGCAAGATGGAAGTTGCTAAAAATTGCGTTGAGTTTTGGCAGTTTCTTCCTTGACAGTGCAAAGCAGTTCCTTCCATATCAAGATGTTATTCGAACATATTTTAAGAGATTTCGGCAATTTTGCGGAGTGCTTCCAGTTTTTCTTTCTATCCAATCACGAAGTAGCGAACAAATGTGGCACGTGGATTTGCCGATTTTGACAATTCTCAAGGAAAAATAAACAACGCCTCATAAACTTTACATGCACTAAAATTTGCTAATACTTTCGCAAAAATCACCGCTTTTTAACATTTTCGCTATTAATTCTTTTTACAAATCATATATTTTGCAATTTAACACAATAAAACCACGTTTTCTGTCGAAAAATTTATTACTTGGAAAATTTACTATTTTACAGTTTATTTTATCCTCCCGTTCGGCTTTGTTTACTTTTACTTGAGAAATTTTATCTTCGCCGGGAATGCTGAATCTTGTGTTATATCATTCTTGTCACCATATAGTTTTTAGTGTTGGACAATTTTTTCTCTTAAAGTTAAGAAAATCATGTCGAGCAAAAATAAAAATAACACTATGCGACACTCAAAAAAGGGATGGGATGAAACCAACGGGAAATGTTATATCGGTCAAAAACAAGTTTTACGTGTCCCGGCGTTTCGCTGGGTCACGTCTAGGAATCGAGATATATATATAACTATCATATAGGCGATGCTTTCCATTTCCAGACAACCGGTCAGGTACGAGCATGATTTTTAATTTCCACCAAACTCAAATACATTGTTTTTGGTCCAAATAATGAGACACGTATTTTTTCTTTTGGCTCGGAAAAATTTTTCGGCCGAATTAAACGCGATTTTGTTTTTCAGGCAAAAATCGATTATTCGAATTGACAGTGAGAATGTTTTTTTAAAATGCCCATAACTTTGTCAAAATTTAATAGATTCCAACAATGTTTTTACTCAAATGTCAGTAATTCTTGTCACTTCAAGATAGAATGATATAATTATTGATTTTCATTATTTAAAATTAAAGCTTTCCGAAGTTTTATAATGAGCCAAATACACCACACAAGCGGCTTGTCAAACATTCTTCAAACCTACTTTTCCCATTTCGCCATACACCATGCAAATATGACTCGTTCAAGCAAAAAATTTTAGTTTTCTTCCGGTTCACAATGTAAAAGGGTTTGGTTTTCTTTGATTTTTCTCTCTTGCGTCCTCATTCGGTAAAAATTCCGTTGTGAATGAGGCGATTTTATCACACATAACCAGCCCAATTCTTAATATTCCCGGGGAGTTTGTTCTCCGGGAATTTGTTTCTCCCGAGAAAGAAATCCTCCAATAATTAACTCCCAGGGAGTAGCATTTTCCCCGAAAATTTGGGAGGAGGAAATTCGAGGTTCGAAAAAGCTGTTTGACACTTTTTTGACAGCTAAACTCCGCCATTTAATATAAAAAATACTCAAGGAATTTTTATTCATGATAGGAGGAAAGGGAAAAGTGAGAAAACTCCCAGGGGGTTTCTGTTCAGAATCGGCCTGAACGCAAGCGGTTTGATCAAACGTCAACATGACGGCCAGAAAATCAAAAAATTTTGATTTTTGTTCAAATTTCCTTCAAATGGCTTGTCAAACTTTCAAAAACCCCCATACACAACAGAAATAGCTTTATTCAAAGGAATATTTCGCTTGGTTTGTCAAGCCGCGTGTGTGGTGTTTTTCGCTCTTAAGCACATCTGCATTTGCTGCTATATATTCAAAATATTATCGATCATTTTTTTCCTTTCATCGTTATGTTTTCAACTTATTTTGAACTTGCAAAATCCCGATAACGAATGGAGAGAGCACGCATTGTTCGATCATAAGGATATTCATATTGATTCTTCATTATATGCAGAAAATTATAGGAAACAAGTCTTTGAATTAAAAGATTCTTCAGGTTCATATAAGTTTCCCAATTAAAAAAAAATTATATCTGCATTACTAATATAGCCCTTTTCTAATGCTTCAGTAGAATGTATATTTAGTAGTTTAAAAATGTGTAGGACTGGCTTGAGGACCAGATTAAGCACTCCCAATAAACATTTAGGTTTGAGCTCAACTTGAGGTTAATTTGAGAACTAAGGTATTTCTCAAATCTCCAACGTTGTTTCTCAACAGTACCTCAAGTGGAGGATCATAGCGTTCTCAACAAAAAGGGCATTTTTCTTTGTATGAAAAAAGGACTGTTTCTCAAGTTGAGAAAATGCTAGTTCTCAACTTGAAGTCGAATGTAATTCTCCAATTGGTCTCAAACATATCATTGAAATACTGAAATTGAAATAGTAAAATACCTTATACCTATTTGATTGAAACGACATACATAGATGAATTTAAATATTAATTTTTAATTTTATTACTCCTTTTCTATTATGTAGTTAAGCAAAATCGTATTACAATAATTCACTTCACAGTACACAGGCCGACATTAATTTTGCCACTTGATTCACTTGGCGTTTTATTTTCTTTCAAGATTATTTGAGGATGTTTTGAAGATTATTTACTTTTTGTTGGTAATTTTCCTCGTTATATAGCTTTAGTTTTTCACTTGATAATTAAATATTCGTTTCTCTATCACTTTTTACGTATCTCCGCGTCGGTTAGAGATGAGTTGGAGAATGATGTTGGATATCAACTTGAGAACTATGAATTTCTCAAAGGTTGGAGAAATATTGTTTTAGTGTTTATTGGGCTGATATAGTTGCAGCAATATTATATACAAAGCAAG